GTTGGTTCAGTCCATTCAGTTCAGCTTGGTTTGGTTTGGTTCAAATCTTGGTTATCTTATTATTTCCACCCTAATATCTCAATTTACGGTTTGATCTGTTTGGTGATGCTCGAACGAATCTTGGGGAAAATCAACAATATTTGGTGGTTCTCTTTATTGGGGCATTGCGTACTGATATCAAGGAACAATTAGCCCTACAATCCATTGGGTTTCTCAATGAGGTTATTGCAACGACTACAACAATTGAAGAACAAATAAATAACTGATACAAGAAGCAATATATGCGACGGAATATGTGGGATCAAACAGGGGACCATCCAAAAAGACCTCATCTTCGGATGATCAGCATTCTTTCCTAGCTACCATGTCGTCGGGGACTAAAGGCAAACAGGTGGAATCAGAAGCAACAAAGGGTGGTAGGGCACTGATACCTCGGCGGGTAAGCGATCTACTAACACCTATAATCGCCCAAATTTGGGTAAATGTTTTAGGTGCGGTCAAATAGGACATCTTCCATCGAATGTCCTCAACGTAAAGCTATTACTTTCTTGGATGAGGATGAACTAAGAAATGACAGTGAGGATGATGAACAAAACGAGGTTGAAGAAGTTGAATACATCGGTCCTGATGAGGGAGAGTTAGTTATGTGCATGGTTCAGCGCTTACTTTTGACACCGAAAGCAGAGGTGGCGTACCAACGCCATGCCCCCCAAGGTGATGTACCGGTGCTTACTTTTTTAAAACAAGGTGCACTGTCAATGGCAAAATATGCAATGTCATTATTGACAGTGGTGGCACGGAAAACATAGTGTCCAGCAAGCTCATAACAGCTCTAAACCTATCCTTGACACCCCATTCGGCCCCATATAAGGTCACATGGATTAAGAAAGGCGGGGAAGCTCAAGTAACCCAAACTTGTACTATTCCTTTATCGATAGGTGCAAGTTATAAAGACCAAGTTTTTTGCGATGTGCTTTAGATGAATGTGTTAAATTATAGTTTATTTTATTTTAAAGGTCTCCTATTTTATTTAGGTTAGGGTTTTATTGTTCTAATAGGTAAGTATTTCCTTATCCTAATAGGCAAGAATTTCTTGTTAGTTTCTTCTTTGTGACTGCTATTTATATAGCCTTGTATCCATCATTTGTAATAATCGAGGAAGAATTATTTTCTTTTCTTATCAATTAACATGGTATCAAAGCTCTAGGTATCCTGTAAAAATTTTGTGCCAATTAGGGTTTTGTGTCCATTAGAATTTTGTACCTGTTAGAGTATAGATATTAGTATATTTTATATTATTGTATTAATATTAATTTGTCTATTACCTTCTCCTTATACGATTAGGTCAACCTTGTATATTTGTCTATATATATAGACTTTAATAATGAGAATACATTACATTGGATTCTCTCCAACCTTAGTCTCTACATCGTATCAGAGTTCTAGGTTTCTTCTAAAATTTTTGTGCCCATTAGGGTTTTGATGCCCATTAGGGTTTTGTTCCCATTAGGGTTTTATCCCTTAGAGTTTTGTTTATTGCTATCTAACTCAACTTACTACTACCACCACCGTCGACCGCCGCTGACCACCGCCGCCGTCGTTGCCGACCACCGCCGCCGCTGCCGCTATCGCCGTCGTTTGCTGATTCGCCAACGCTGCTGTTTTCCAATTGCTATTCGTGGGTTTCGTCTCACCGTCCTTTGCACCTTCGTCGCCGCCAGTCGTCGTGCGCTTCCATCACCACCAATCGCCTTCGCCCTCTGGTTGTCGTGTGGTAGCACTTAGGGTTTCTGATTTCAGAAAACACCTGATCCGGTTCAAGCGGTCTAGCTCAACCGGTTTGGTTTCAAGCGGATACGTTCATCCGGTTCAGGTTCGGTTCGGTCTGGTTCGTCACATTCCGGTTCGGTTTGGTTGATTTATACCTGTTCGTTTGTTACGGTTCAATTGGTTTGGTTCATGTGGCTCTATTCAATTGGTTTGGTTCGATTCCCTTTCGTCCTTCAGATTTGGTTTGGTCTGTTTCAGTGCAGTTTTTGTTTGTGTCCATATTGTTGAAGTTATGATCGAGAAGAAATTAATGGTAACGATTTCTGCGGAAGAGTTTGCTAAATTTCAACAGTATCAAGAGTCATTGATGGCATCATCCTCTAATCCAATTACTGTCATTGCTGATTCAGGTAATACCAATAAATGTCTTATTTCCTCCGCGTCAAAATGGGTCATTGACTCTGGTGCTACGAATCATGTGTCAGGTAACCCTAATTTATTTGCTACTTTTTCACCATCTACATCATTACCTGATGTTACAATAGCGGATGGCACCACTTCTCCTATTCTTGGCTCTGGCATAGTTTATCTATCTAAAACTCTTTCATTGACATCTGTTTTAAATTTGCTACAATTTTCTTTTAATTTGATCTCTGTCAGTAAACTTACTCGTGACCTCAATTGTTGTGTCTTATTCTTTCCTGGTTATTGTTTATTTCAGGATCTTACAACGAAGAAGACTATTGTTAAAGGGCGTGAATCTAATGGACTATTGGTAAAGGGCGTGAATCTAATGGCCTCTACACGTTTGATACACAAATACCTACAGCCACTGTTTGCACTCGAGTGCTAACTCCTTTCGAAGAACATTGTCGTTTGGGTCATACATCTCTCTCCGTGTTAAAGAGTCTCCGTCCTCATTTTCATAGTTTGCATTCTTTAGATTGTGAGTCATGTCAATTTGCTAAGTTTCATCGTCTCAGTTCCTATCCTAGAGTCAATACACGAGCTGTAGTTTTGTGAGAAGGGTTATATTTTTCTTATTCTCATTACAACCCATTTTGGGGTAAATATACAAGAAGACCTTTCAACAAATAAGGAATTAATCTAAACCTATAAGGAAAACAATAAAATTATAGAATATACAGAGACATAATGTAAATTCTAATAAGGAAAAAACTTAATTTACGGCTTGATTTTCTACACTGCCCCTCAAGCTGGATGATATATGCTTGTCATTCCAAGCTTTAAGATTAATCTACTATGGCTGGGTCGATGCAATGCCTTAGTTAAAATGTCAGCAGCTTGTTGTTGGGAAGATACATATCTCAGATTGATAGTATTTGTCTCAATCTTCTCGCTGATGAAGTGACGATCTATTTCGACATGTTTCATCCGATCATGATGTATTGGATTTCTTGCAATGGCTATGGCAGATTGATTGTCACACAATACCTCTATAGTACCTTCTGTCTTCACCTTGAGTTCAGTGAGAAGACGTTTCAACTAAACTCCTTCACAGATCCCATGGGCTAATGATCGAAACTCAAGTTCAGCACTACTTCGAGCTACAACTTGCTGTTTCTTACTACGTCAGGTTACTAGATTCCCCCATACATAGGAACAGTATCCTGATGTTGACTTACGGTCAATAGGAGATCCAGCCCAATCTGCATCCGTGTAGACTTCAAGAGCTCGGTTTGTGGTTTTTCTGAACATCAGTCCTTTTCCAGGATCGTGTTTGAGACATTTCAATATTCTATACACAGCTTCCATATGCTCCTTTGAAGGTTTGTTCGGAAATTGACTTACCACACTAACAGCAAAACTAATGTCTGGTCGCGTATGAGTTAAGTATATTAGCTTTCCAACTAGGCGTTGATATCTGCCTCGATCAACTGGTTCATCTTCAAGATTAACTCCAAGTTTTGAATTTGCATCCATAGGAGTGTCTGTTGGTTTACAACCACTCATCCCGGTCTCTATTAGGAGATCTAACGTGTACTTTCGCTGAGTGACAGAAATCCCTTTACTAGATCTTGCTACTTCCATACCTAAGAAATACCTTAGGTGTCCCAAGTCTTTGATCTCAAATTTCTTCGAGAGGAGTTGCTTTAGACGAACCATTTCTTCAGAGACATTTCCTGTAAGTATTATATCATCAAAATATACTATTAATACAGTGATCTTACTTGGTGAGAAGTGCTTGATAAAGAGGGTATGATCGGATTGACACTGAGTATAGCCGTCTTGTTTCAACACATTTGTAAATTTTTCAAACCAGGCCTGAGGTGACTGTTTTAGTCCATACAGAGACTTCCTGAGTTTACATACCTTTCCCTTAGTATATCTGTCCTCAAATCCAGGAGGTATGTCCATGTACACTTCCTCTACTAAATCACCATTTAGGAATGCATTCTTCACATCAAGTTGAAACAATGGCCAATCTAGATTTGTTGCAATGGAGAGAAGTACCCGAATAGTGTTTAGTTTGGCAACTGGAGCAAAAGTTTCCTGATAGTCAATCCCATAAGCTTGGGTGAAGCCTTTAGCCACCAGGCGAGCTTTGAATCGTTCTATACTGCCATCTGGTTTGTGTTTGGTTGAGAAAATCCATTTACATCCAACCGTGCGCTTACCTGGATGTAAGTCTGTAAGGATCCATGTCCCATTTTTTTTCAAAGCCTGCAATTCTTCTAGAGTAGCAGCCTTCCATTCAAGTTTCTGCAAGGCTTCTTGAACTGTGTTGGGAGTTTGAACCTGATCTAGTGAAGTCACRAAAGCTCTAAAATACGGSGACAGATTAGTGTAAGACAAGTGATACCGTATGGGATGTTGGGTACATGAGCGAATACCTTTCCTGACAGCAATGGGTCTATCATCTCCTGATGTCTCGTGTGCTATTTCAGGGACATTGAGATTTTGGTTTAGATCTTGGCATTGCTGAACTTGTGTAGGTTGTATTTCGTTTCTCTCAGGTTGTCTTGTTCGTCGCGAATAAACTTGCAGTTCAGCCTCAGAGGGAGATACGTGAGTTGGCTCAGAATGAGGTACAGGTGAACTCTCAGAGAATGGAATTGGCTCAGAATCAGAAGAGGGTACAAGAGAACTCTCAAAGGATGGGTTTAAAGAGAAGTCAGGAATGCAATYCCAATTTTGTGATTCAAGAACARAATTCTCCCCCTGAAGGACAGAATTGAGATAATATGGTTGATTTTCAAAGAAGGTGACATCCATGGTATGAAAGAATTGTTGAGTGGGAGGATGATAACACTTGTATCCTTTCTTATTTGGCGAGTATCCAAGAAAGATACATTTTATGGATCGTGCATCAAGCTTACTACGATGCTGAGGATATATATGAACAAACGCAGTGCACCCAAATATTTTTAATGGTAATGGAGACACAAGATGGGATGTAGGATAAATTGAGAGTAAACTTTGTAAGGGTGTGTTGAAGAATTTGAGAATGCGGGATGGCAAACGGTTTATAAGATAGGTAGCAGTTAGGACAGCTTCACCCCAGAAAGATTTTGGAACATGGGATGTGAGCATGAGAG